CACATATTTGAAGGATGATCTCCTTCCATAGGTTCCTGTGCGCCACCAGCTACAATAATCAGGCAGCCATCTGTTAGCTATCCCACCCCTTAGGTGGTGCTATCAGGCACTGACCAGAGCCTGGGCCTACACGAAGCATCAGCGGCCATAAAATGGAGCAGGTAATGAGTTCTAAATATTTGGGTGTGGTGATTGAATCTTCTAGGGTGAGGAAGGCCCATCACGATTACGTGGCTAATATAGATAAAAAATCGGTACAAGCTATTCTAAGATTCCTCTGTATAAATATATTACAGTGCTCCTCAAATTATATCAATCCAAAACTGTCTCCCAACTTCTGTATGGGACAATGTTAGGCCCGCCATCTTTATGTTTTTCCCCATTAGAAAGAACTCAGTTGAAATTTTTAAGAGCAATATTTTGATTCCACAGATGTATATCAAATGCAGGCCTGCACCTAGATTATGGTTTGATTAGATTAGAGGCTCGGGTAAGCCTCGCATCTATTAATCTGTGGCTTAAGCTAAACCATTCCCCCCAAGACTTTACATTGTTATTTCTCCGGGATGGCTTTTGATCCACTAGGTTAAAGTCTGTCACAAATTGAATATGTTAGGCCTCTCTCCATTGTTTCTCTTATAAATGGCCTTAGATCAAGCAAAGGCCCTGGTCAAGTAAAGGATATTGGGTACTGAAAGGCAGGGAGACATCAACAGAGTTTCAAATTTCCTGGCATCAAAGAACACTAGATACATTGTAATTCCAGCAGCTTACTTATCGCTGTTAGAGATCCTGTCCCACCACAGGGCTTACTCTATGGCTACATGGAATATACTCCCCTCTGTGGTAGTGGAGGGAGGTTAGAGGAAGATCCCATTATCAGAGAGGGTTTGCTCATGTGGAGCAGGGAAGGTTGAGACAAATGAGCATATTTTGCTTCACTGCCATTTCTACCAGGAAATCCACAAGAAGATTGTTGCACCCCTGCTTGGGAGGGTTTCTGCCTGCTCTGAATCTGAAATTATGAGGAAGTTCGTTTCAGACACAAATCCTCAGCTCACACTCCCCTGTGCCAGATTTCTTACAGCATCATGCAGAATTTATTAGCAGTGAGCATTTGCCAGTGTGGAGCACGGAAGGTCAAGATAAACGAGCATATTTTGCTTCACTGCCATTTCTACCAAGAAATTCGCATGAAGATTATTGCACCCATGCTTGGGAGGTTTTCTGCCTGCTCTGAATTTGAAATGACAAGGAAGTTCCTTTCAGACACAAATCCTCAGCTCACACTCCCCTGTGCCAGATTTCTTGCAGTGTCATGCAGAATTTGCAGGGAATCAACACAGAGTGTAGCTGAACCATAAAATGTATACGTTTTGTTCAATCTGTTCTGTGATTTTAAAAATGCATAGGCCATTCAGTAATTTTAATATTGTATATTTCCTAAAATTTATAAGACCCATGTACATTGCTGTAACTGATCTTGTGCTGGTCATGAACTGTATTAATACATTTGATTTGATTTGATTTGATTTGAGAGCCTGGGCCTTTCCATTGTGGCTCTGGCTCTGTGGAACAGACCTCCTTGAAGTGGTGGTGGTGGTGGTGGGGCCTCCTTGGAGATCTTCTGGAGGTGCTGCGAGGCCTACTTATTTGCCAGGGCCTTTAGGGAGGGAGGGATTTGGGGATTGTTATTTTATTTTTGGTTCTACCTGGGGATTTATTAACTAGTATTGTAAGCCACCTTGAACCAAGAGGAAAGGCAGGATGTAAATGTTTTAATAAATAAATAATGGGATGGATGAGGGCAAGTAAACTGACGCTCAGTCCATACAAGACTGAGGTGCTACTGGTCACATGAAACTGTCTTACACAGAATCAGATCCTTGGTCCATAAAAGTCAGTATTGTCTACTCAGTCTGGCAGCATAAGAACATAAGAGAAGCTATGCTGGATCAAGACAATGACCCATCCAGTCCAACACTTTGTGTCCCACTTTGTGGCCCCCCAAGCAACAAGAATACAGAACATCAGTGCCCCAGACATAGTTACCTCTCTACCTTGTGGCTAATAGCCACTGATGGACCACTGCTCCATATGTTTATGCAGTCCCCTCTTGAAACTGTCTATGCTTGTAAGTCGCCACCACTTCCTGCGGCAGTAAATTCCCTTTGGGTGAAGAAGTACTTCCTTTTATCTGTTCTAAACCTACTGCTCATCAATTTCATTGAGTGCCCATAAGTTCTTGTCTTGTGAGAAAGGGAGAAAAGTACTTCTTTCTCTACCTTCTCTACCTCATGCATAATTTTGTAAACTTCGATCATGTCACCCCTCAGTTGTCGTTTCTCCAGGCTAAAGAGCCCTAACCTCTTTAACCTTTCTTCACAGGGAAAGTTTTCCATTCCCTTAATCATTTTAGTTTCCATTTTCTGCACCTTTTCCAATGCTATAATATCTTTATTGAGGCATTATGATACTGGCTATTTGTTTTCAATTCTCTGCCTAATAATCCTCAGCATGGCATTTGCCTTTTTTATTGCACTTGCACACTGGGTCGATATTTTCAGTGTGTTATCTACCATGACTCCAAGATCTCTCTCCTGGTCAGAGAGCTAGTTTGGTGTAGTGGTTAAGAGCGGCTGATCTGGAGAACCGGGTTTGATTCCCTACTCCTCCACATGCAGCCGCTGGGTGACCTTGGGTCAGTTAAAGTTCTCTGAGAGCTGTTCTCTCAAGAGCAGTTCTCTCAAAGCGCTCTCAGTCCCACCTACCTCACAGGGTGTTGTGAGGAGAGGTAGGGAAGGAGATTGTAAGACGCTTTGAGACTCCAAGTGAAGGGCAGGGTATAAATCCAAACTCTTCTCCTCTTCTTACCGCCATCAATGTATATTTATAGTTGAGATTTTTGGCTTCAATGGGCATTACTGTGGACTTTACCACACTGAACCATGTTGGCTCCCCCTCTCCCGGTCCAGCCTTGACAGATCTTTCTGGAGCACCTCACAGTCATCCTTGGTTTTTACCACCCTGAACAACTTAGTGGCATCAGCAAACCTATCCACTTCACTGTTTACTCCCAACTCAAAATCATTAATGAACAAGTTAAAAAATCACTGGACCTAGTACCGAGCCCGGTGGTACTCCACTACTTTACCACCTTCCATTGTGAAAATTGCCCATTTATACTCTCTGTTTCCTGTTAATGTAGCAGTTTTTAATCCACACAAGTACTTGTCCTCTTATTCCATGACTGCTGAGTTTACTTAGGTGCACAGTTCCCTCTAAGCTGTGCTAGGGGGTGCTGGTGCACCAAATTTTAACAGATAGCTCAGGGGTTGTGAGCTTCTGCTCACAGGACATTTCCTCCCGTACATTGGAAACAGTGGAGGATGGGGACATCTCCTTCTGGGGCCCATAGAATTGGTCCAATCTGTCCAGTCTCTCTGGTGGGGTGTGAGAGGCACCAGCAGCTATGCTGCAAAT